TTTGGCACCTAATGTGTGCAGACATCGCAAGGAGGGTTAGCAACCGTCTCTATCCTCACAGTGCTCTGGGTGGTGGGCAAACACCCCCATTCTCCACGGGGGACTAGAGCTCACGGGGGAGTGATCTGCGTGGCTCCACCTGCCCCATCTGCCTGGGGCTGTAGCGGCCAGAGCCAGCCCGGCAGGCAAGCCCGTGAGGGAGCCGTCAGCCCAGCTGGGCCTCCCCAGGAGTTCTCTTGCTTAATTGAGAAATGTGAGTTATCTGGGGAGCTGCCAGCCTGTTCCCAGAGCCCCTACTATCCGCCAGCCCTACCCTGCCCTCCTCCTGAGGGGAGGCTGGCGTGGGGGTGTCCACGGCACGCCCCCCACCCCTCTATCACCTTTTCCAGCTGGGAAAAGGCACAGCCTCAGCCCCCTTTAATTCAGCCAAGCAGCTCAGGACAAATGTCTGACCTCTAGGAGGTCAAACTCCGCCCAGAGCCAGCGAGGCCGCAGTGACAGCAGCTTCCTCCAGGGCTGGACTCCAGAAGGCGAGGAGGTGGCCAGGGCCCTCAGGGCCACTCAGGGCACTGCCCCTCCGTGTAATGGAATCTTCTCAGCTGGCTTGTGAGCTCCGGCGGCTCCGGTTCCTGCTCCCCTCAAGGCTCTGATCGCCGGCAGGAGGGCAAGGTCACCCCGTGGTGCGGCACCTGCGGGCGCCCAGGTGGGTTGGGGCGTGTGTGTGTGTGTGTGAGTGTGAGTGTGTGAGAGAGAGGGTGTGTGTGTGTGTGCGTGTGAGAGGGTGTGGGTGTGTGTGAGTGTGTGAGAGAGAGAGAGAGAGAGAGGGTGTGTGTGAGTGTGTGGGGTGTGGGGGGGTGTGAGCGGGGATCCCATGAGCTCCAACCTCTCCCCAGGCAAGGTCCTACTGTGCTTCTCCCACCTCCACCAGCCCAGGTGCCCCTGGAGGAGGTGTCACCCATGATGGGACAGCAGGAGGGGCCTGGCCGGGGCGTGGGTGCTGAGCTGCTGCCAGCCACAGGGTCAGAGCTGAGGAAGGACCCCTCCCCTTGCAGGTCGGGCACGGTGCTGGAGTCTCAGAGGGGCCCTCGGTGGGGAAGGAGACACGCCAGCAGGCAGTGGGCAGACACAGGGCAGGCAGAGCACACGTGCCAGGGGCACAAAGCTGTGACAGCCTGGCCAGGGTGGGGTGGGAAGACCAATGGGTGGTGTCAGAGCCATGGGGCCGGGGTGGGTGGCAGGAGAGGTAGCTCGGCCGCAGGGCTCGGCATTTCCGAAGCACTGAACCAGGCGAGAGCAGCCCAGCCGGCCCCGCACACCCCGGAGGCTGGTGGGAGCAGCAGGGCTGGGCTGGAGGGATAGCCCTGGGGGGGCCGCTGAGCCCTGTGGGTGCCGTCACTGTCTCCCAAAGGCTTC